AAAATAGAAAGGTAGTTAATGAAAGATTGTTCTCTTTGAATATTATTCTACAAAGAATAAGAATGGCAGAAGAGAATTGCTAACGCTCGAGTTTATACTTGATTCGTTAAAGAGTGAAAAAAATCTAAGAATGAATTGCTTCTCAAAATTGAGCATTCGCTAATATTCATCATTGATTTATATAAAAATCTACAGAAAATGCTGTAAAAGTTGTATTGCAATATATCGATTCATGAATGATGAAATGCCTAAAGGGTAAAATGAAGATCAAACGCTATAAAAGACATGCTGAAAAGATGTTTACTGTTTCTAAAAACTTCTGGGCAGTACAGAAATAGTTCAATCATATTTTGTCTTTTATCAAAGTACTTTATGGAGAATCCATGCCATATCGACAATTGCCAACGTGACATTGGGAAAGTTTTGCATCGAAAAAAGAACAGTTACAAATAGAAATGATTCATCTTGACTAACGGTGAAAAATCAGATGAATGTGAGCTATTCGACGAATAAATTTCTCAATCGTTTTGCGACGCTGTTCTTATGATAATACCAAATGAGGAGAAGACAAAAGAAGAATTGTAAGAAACAGTCTTTGATTTGAATTAAATTGAATTCGATTTGATATTAGCCAAAGTAATCATAATTCACATATACATACTTTGTCTTTCTCTACGATGGCTATTGTTTTTATGAGCAAAAATTGATCTTTATTTCAGTAATAATGACGAATGGAGTAGGGTGTGTTCGATTGAGATTGAGTGACGATTAAATGGATCAAATTGATCCTTACTTTTCATCTTTCTTCAGATTTTGTATTATTCGAATGTTTCAGTTAGTAGTCATACTTCTTAAAAAAAAAAAATTATGATTATAAAGAACGAAAATGTTCATTAATGTTGATACTCATGCCTTAAAATCTTCTGCTTTCTTTCGAGAGTTGAATTGATTTCTGTCGACTCATTTATTATTGTAGACAAGAATAAAAGATGTTGTTAAAATCGCATGAATCATCCACAGAAGACAACGAAAGAGTGATTGACGCACATAGTGTTTTACTTACGTTTTGTTCTACCGAAGGTGTATATGTTCACACATAGTTCATTTGGGTAGCTGCTGTCACTAACATCGAACAAGATCGATAGTCAAATGCAATTCGGTACACTTCATTGATTCTTCGATACTTAAAATTGTCCAGTTTAATAAAAAACAACATACAGTTGGCACATAGACGAATGAAATTAAATCAACATGTATTGATAAGCATAATGAGACATTTTTTATGCTTTTCTGAAAGCAGCATTTTAAAACACTGCTATGTATGAGTAATAAACAAAACAACAATGCATAATGCAATAGATCTTTCTCGTCTTTTGACGGTATCGGTGTTTGTCACTTGTTGCTTATATGTCATTGTGGAATTTTAGTTTCTTGGATATGGACGGCATCAAACACGAGTTACTCGAAAATCATTCCCAAATAAAACTAAAGATATTCACTAATCAGAAAATATTTTTGATTTTAAATCCTGATTCGATGACAAACAAAGTCAGCTAATTATACTCACTAAATTGAAAACTACATATTACTGTGTGAATTCTCCTCTTAGGAACAAAGATACTAAACATGATTTCGGGCTTTTACGGAAAGCTGATCATGCAGTCCCAAAGTCATAGAACGTATTACGATAAGCAACATAAATCAACGAAAACTTTGTACACTTGATGTATCATTCATTTCGAAGTGGCATCAATCCACTTTTCGAAACTCAATATGATATCACGGCATTCACGAAATTAAGTTGGGTAATATTTGTAAACGAGTTTCTAACGTTCTATCTAAATACGCTTGGCTATTCCAATCGTCGAAATCTCCGAAGAGTAATACATTTTCATGCTTACCTTTTTACTATTTTAGACTCTCGATACAGTTTGTCTATCATACACAAAAAAGTCTTTTGCAGTCGAGTAAATTTGTCAACAAAAGATCACATCATGCTTTTCCCAGCAGAAACTTAAGATTATCACAATTCTCTACTGTTTGACCGTCCTCTGAACCAAGTCTCTTACAATTGACCATAGTGTGCTCACAATTTTCGCCATCGTTGCGCTGTAAAACTATTATCATCTACTTGCATCGCTTTCGACTGACCATCTTCCATGTGTAATTCTAAATGTATTGAATCGATAGAGATGATAAATTGAAAATACGACGATGAAAAATATAATAAACAAACTAAACATGTTCAACATTGAAATAGTTGTTATCAACTGCGGCATGATGTAATCCTGTTTGTATTTTTTACTGGTTACAACTCTTGATAGAACTATCAATAATGCTCATGTCTTCTACAGATTAATAATCGATAGTATAATTGCAAAGAATAAAACGACACGCTTATCTTAAATGGAATAAATCGAATGTTCGAAGCCACATCATCAGATTCTTTTATTAGAGGGGTAAAAATCGAATGAGAGAAGGATCATAGTCACTAACATTATGTTAAGAAACATCGATAAGAGATTGTCTTTGGATAACTAAATCATGAGTTATTAGAGAAAAAGTGTGTTCAAGAGACTATTTTCTTATGTCTGAATTTCTTCACATTTGTGAAAATTTGTCGCTATACAAAATATGATTTCTCAATATTTGCTTTTTGAATGACTTTTTTCACTTATTTTCAGTCTCTTATGTCATATGGTTCTATTTGTAGAATATAGGTGATAGTAAAAAATTACTTGAAGCTCTTATTAATATCAAGACATGAAAACGAAGCTACTTTCAGCAGCTGAACTTCACATTAGTGTATACTTCGCTTTCCTCATTCTGAATATGCAAGTATCCATTGTTTTTTCTCGAAATACAATTTTCTATGGCTCTGCATTATTCTTTCAAATCGATTACTATCTCTTCCATTGAAACTGAAATGCAGCTCAGATGATGTCAAATAAATACTAGTTACAATGTCTATAACAAAGTGGTGCAGATAGCTGACTATTGAGTATTTATTAGTATAAATAAAAAGTAGCTAGATAAGCGTAAAGAGAATTTCGTTGTCTTTCATATTAAAAAGAGGACCATTGTTAGAGAAGCCATGGTAGTTTCTTTCTCTGTTTTATCATTGAATCCGAATATTATCATCAAAAAAGATGAATTGAGAGAACCAGGACAAGAAACATAATATATACATGTTATCCACAATGAAAATATCTTTTGAGCAGTCTACTTACAAAATTCTTCAGTAACAACTGCTATAGATGTCGACAATAGTGTCAGTAACTATGATAGCATTGTAAGTTTTTTTTTTCGGCTAGTATACTAATGTTTGATTTGTTGTTCTTATTATTGTCATTACCACTGATGTTTTTGTTTTCTCAAAATTTATTTATGAGGCTGTAAAGCAGTATATTTTTGTTCGCTACTTAACGCAAGAAAAACAAAAGCTTTTTACTATGTAAGAATAAAAAGATTTGCATGTTTTTCCCTATGCAAATTCGACGTGAACCCTGCAAAACATCTTTTCAATCAATTTAGCTGGACGCTTAACTTCGAAATTCTTTTTCTTTTATTGATTCTGGGTCCAGCTCTGTTCAAGTTACAATCAAGTTTTGGTGGCATTGATCTATGATGATATAGACGGTATTGCCATATTTTCTATTGAGTTGTTCTTCTAGCTAGGCATTATTTATGTGGCATCATCTTCCATAAACAACTAAATCCGTAAACTGAATGGAAAAAAAACTAAATTGGCTGGTACTGCTAGTGTGAGAGCACTCATAGTTTAAATTTGACATAATTTTGACTGACATCTGGCATTTTCATAAAAGTACAAAAAAAAATAATCTTCATTCCAGAAGATACTAAAAAAATTCAAGCAAGAAAACTAGAATTACGACAATCAGCATATAATCTTTTTACTTATCCACAGGTTTTGATTCATTTGAATTGGAACTACTGCCGTTTATTGAAGGTGTTGTACCATGGTATATTGTATCGAAATGGCTGAGTATTTTTGAAGTCTGTAAAACACTGACAGAATTGAGTCGTTTCCGAGCTGGTCTGCTGATATTGATGCGCTCGACTCATCTGTATTAGTCATAAAGTTCAAATCGACTTCAGTTACAAGATAAATATTTTATAGATAGCGTTGCAAGAACATATATCAGTATAATATTTTCTGAAACTTTTTTCTTCTCGATTAATTTGAACTCTTTCTAATTAACAATACGAGTTTGAGTAGAAAACATTCTCTCCACTCGTTTATAGCTAGAATTGAAAGTTGTAAGCGCCACCATCGGCTCTTATGATTATCATGGAATACCGGTGGTAATGTGAACAAACTTGTGACATGAGTAGACTTCATGTGATGATAAAGGAAATAGCACTCTTGCAATCTGTCAGATATCATTATCGTTTGTTTGAGGAACTGTTTGCACACAATTCTGTTATGCTTAGTTTTAGTACCCGAAATGAAAATAGTTTTGGATTTCAAATCCATGTTTGATTTTATATGTTGAATGACTCTCAGCTCATAATTCGAATACTTCATGCTAATAGGATATATCTTGAAATTTTAAAGAATTCTTACAATGAATCGTCGATTTTCCTCAACTCTATTTGTTCGATTGTCTCTGCTTATCGTTGGTTGTAGAAGATCGATAATACCTTTGATTGAAACTATTTGACAAAATTCAACTGGAATATTTGTTTTTCTCTTTTTCTTTAATATGAGTAGATAAAAACTTGTATTTTGTTGTTCTTGTTCTCTTAGTTCTGTAAAATGATTAGCTTCTATTACCATTGATATATCATCTCTTTTTATTTACATATAAATAGCATACCTTTCAATTATAATGATTATAAATTCAGTGATATGATAGAAACAAATAATTGGTGTCGTGAAGAATATTCTAATTTTATTTAAAAAAAAAAAGGATCAATGAAAATAAGTTTGACAATGTATTTAAGAAAAAAAATACAAAAAAAATTTTCATGTTCTTTCACGTTACTTTCCATTTCATACGAATTACATGTCTCTCTGTTCTTTTACGCACTGGATCATCTTCCGATAAAAATTTTGCTCGAATTCTTAATGCTTTCTCGAAATATTCCAGAGCACATTGATATTCTTTGATTGCTTCATATTTATGTCCTGCACTACTGAAACTGGTTGCCAGATCGAGATGATCAAACGGTAATACTCGTTCTCGCATTTTTAATGCTTTCAAACACAATTCAAGTGCTTTCACTTTATCTCCTTTAGCACTGAGTACAGTGGAAATGTTATTTAGAGTCGTAGCGATTTCTGGATGACCTGAAGGGAAACACTTTGTTTTCATAGATAGTGCAAGATGGTAATGTTGCAGAGCTTTATCATATTGACCTTTACTCTGATAACAATCAGCAATATTATGAAGAACATTAGCAATATCAGAGTGATCTTCAGGCAAACATGTCTGAAACATTTGAAGAGAGGAAAGAAAAAAATTAACTGCTTTTTCAATATCCTTGGTCATTAGATAAACAAGACCGATAGAATTCAAAGTTTCAGCAATGTGAACATGAATTTCAGGTAAACAAACTCGTTTGATTTTTAATGAGTGTTCATAATAAGTGATTGCTTCAACATACTTGCGCAGACCTCGATAAATCGATCCAATACTATGCAAACATTGTGCTATTTCGAGTTGACATGAATCGTTCAACTCTTCCAGCACTGTTTTAGCTTCTCTGCAATGCTTAAGCGCTTTCTCATAATGCCCTTGCTCCATTAGAACATGACTCATATTACGCAATACACGTGCTGAATCTCGAAGTAGAGATGGGTGCAGTTCTCTCATCAATTGATAGGCTGCGTCAAAATGATACATGGCTTGATCAAACTCAGCCTTTGCCTGACAAACTAGTCCAAGTTGATTGTGAATATAAGCAAGATTTTCATTTCCGGGATCTTTCAATAATTGTTGAAAATAAGTCTGAGCTATCTGATAGTGACCCATCCGAGTCAGTAACGACCCAAAGAACATCGATACACTATCCCCTTCCATTTCTTTCTTTGTTTCTTCGATGTATTGTCGGGCGATTTCTCGTCCGTCATCTGTTGCAGTTAAACAAACCTTCCACATATCATCTTCTTCGCTAACTGTCTGAATTTTAAAAACGGCGCCTAAATCAAATAGAACTTCTTGCTCATCGGGAAAATCGCTGAAACTCGTTATATCTGCAAAAATGGAACAAGCACTTTCTTCATTTTGACATTCAATCTCAAACAGTACTGGAACAGAATCAACTTGTTTTTTACCCTTTACAGCAAAATTAATTGCTATGCAACGTGAACGACTTGTGGATAAATAACCATTGATTGAAATGAGTTTACCCTCATTTGATCGAAATTCTTCTAGTTCGGCTAGTGTTAATCTAACACCGCGATAGACAGTCGTGATTATCATTCCATTGTTAGACTGCTCCATCATCTTCTTGTGTTCACTTGTCAGTGCTGATGATAGATCCGCAATAAAAAAACGAAAGGTATGCAGTTGTTCAACATCTTCAGTACGCAATGCTTTATTCACCATTTTATAGACAAAAGTCTCTCGTGTGTACCATCGGATACATTCTTCACTTGTATAGTATTTTTCAAACTCATCGATTAATTGTAACTCTTGTTGATTGTCTCGATAATAATCACGACATGCTTTGATCATTTGTTGTTTAGCTTTATTATTGGGAGGAAAACGAAGAATAACATCATTGAACAATTGAGACCTAAGAATAGAGAAGATAGCTTATAAAATCTTATTAAAACGGTCATTTTTAGAAAAGTAATGAAACCCTCTATAACAAATATTGTAACAAATCTAGACTTTTGACGGCTAGTCCCATGTATTCAAACAAGTAACGAAAAAGCAGATAATTTTTTTAGCATTCAAGAATCGTTTTTTTTTTGGTACTCGTCTACTGTGTAGTACAAGTTGAGTAGATCAAACGAGACTGGATTGTATTAATCGATCTAAAAGCTGTGTCAACATTGGTTTTATCTTTCTACTCTCTAAAAAGAGCTATAAACAATCTTTTAAAATTTTGTGTTTCATGCAACAATAACGTCCAATAGTAATAGTTTTGAAAAAAAGAAAAATTCTTCTAAAACTTTAATATATCTTTTTCTTTTTGTCCAGAACCGTCTTAAGACTAGAAAGTTCGATTGTTTCACAGACTGGTTATTTAGATAGTAAGAGTTGAAAACATCCATTCATCTTTTTCGACAAAGTTGCCCTACCTAGTTTCGACAGACATTTCTAATAGAATCACGAAAAGACATAGTAGATCGGTAATCGACCGATCCGAACCAATCTAATCATCACTTACGATTTCATCGCTGATCTTTGAAGGTCTCAAATAAAATTCTTACCAAAGAAACTCCGCTGTTCGTTCTGATAAATTCATCGAAATCTTCTGTTTTTGATCATAGAAACTAAATGCTTCGACTTGTTTGTTGAATAAATGAAGGTTTTCGCGAATACTTGAATCAAGTTCTGTTCTATCAGTAAATATACCGGATATCTTAGAAAATTTTTCCATTAAATATAAATGTTCTTCACGCCAAGCACAAAATATGAACACCAATTCAAGTTGTTTCAAATCAATAATAGAAGGTAACAAAGACGATGCCCATATTCCAGATGTTACCAAGAAAATTTTCTCATTTTTGACAGATTTAATGTATGAGATACATTGTTGTATGTCAGTGTAGGCGAGAACATAGTCATTGATCGCCCGTAAAGTCTTCATTCTATCTACTGTGTCAGTCCTTTCACCAATATTCGAATCAAACCAAATGAGAGTGACACTCTCCTTATTTTCTTCTGATGATCGATCCAATACTGGTGCCATTTAAATTATTCTACGCAAAAATCCTGTTACGATGTGTCGATTTGACGAATTTGTTCACACGCAAAAAAATACTTTACCAATTGTTTACTCTTGTCATTCTCTTTCGTTGTTGCGAAAGAATGAAAAAGGTGTAGCAAAAAAACTACATTAACTAATTGTTTTTTGCGATTGTTTTTTCGAATTCTTTCCATATAGTGGCAAATGAAGACATATAATAAATTGACAGACTACAGTCAAACAATCAAAACAAAGTAAAAGAGAAATAATGAATATAAAATTGCAAACAGTGAAGATTTAACCTCACGAAATGGTACACATTCAAAATAGATTTTTGTTGAAAAAAAAGAAGTCGTTGCTCATACGAGTATAGCGAAGGATCAAATTTCATATGTTGATAATGAAAGATGTTATTCAAAATATTTTATAGTGAATATGAAAGAAGGCTAAGGAACTGACATCTTGAATTCTATCGAGTTTTATTTGAATTCTTTAGGATTCCTCTGTTTTATGGTTATGTCGAGCAAGTTTTCTTTTAAAGGAAGCAATAATAGTGATGTGTTTGCTAGTATGAGAAGGCGAGTTCAAATCTCTGCCATTATACTTAGACACTTCTTGTAGATGGTAATTTACATTAGGTTCAGCATGCAAACTCTATGAAAGACATAGAGATTATTAGAAATTAGTAGCATGACTCACTCCATCAGTGAAAGAAATAACTCTAAGAATTCAAAATCAATATCCATATTATGTAGTATTGGTTTTTTCATCGAAATTATTTCGAAATTTTGAAAACCAAGTTAGTTCAAGAAAGAATACATTTATTTTGCAGTTATATACATGAAAGTATAATAAAATGTGAAGCGAAACGTTTCATTTACTGATCAAATATTACTTATAATATTTATACAAATAATATCTTTTAGTTTTCATACAAATAAACTCTCACAAAAAGAAGTGCTAAACAATTTTATCTGGAATTTATATTGTGCTTTGATTGTCAACAATTACAAGATGCTGTTCTTTGTTATGCGATGTACTAAATGGTATTTAACTTTCTGATGATGTATTTCTTTTAAGTATTAAAAATTTTAGCTAACATCTCAAATACACGGTTAGTTAAAATCAACTGAAAATATTCTCACTTACAGCTACGTTTCAATGAGTTATTCTCATTAACACCTATTCGGTCTAAGTACAGTAAAACCTCTCTATAGTGGACACTCTTCGGACTTTTCAAAAGTGTCCACTGTAGAGAGGTGCTCACTATAGGGAGGTTATGTACTTCCCAAAACTAACATCTTTTTCAAACAAGTCGACATGTTTCTAGGCATCTACAGCATTAGAGAATAAAATAATCGCGATAGAGCACATTATTACTTTTCTTTTCATGTATTTTAATTTTGAAACATAGAAAAATCAACAATTATCACAAAAATCTTTGATAGAGCTTTGTTTCGCCGCTTTCGAATATAGATAAATGTCACTTAATTGTGATTCAAGATCAGAGCTGATCGTGCAGATGAGTCTGTTGCTCAGACACAAAAAAGATCAACCTGATAAACTATGACCACTTTAATTACTCTTAATTAGTACAATCTTTTGTTCCGAAGTCAACACTCATTGATTAGACATAATGATCTCTTTCTCTTAATACTTGTAACAAAAGGACACAAATTTTTCAATGCGATTATATATGTATACCAGTCTCTCCTATTCAATACAAAGAATGTATTCTTTCTCTACCACTGAGATGTATCTTTTTTCCATTCCGCAGTCTGATCCATAAAGAAGAGTCATTATGTTGAATAACTAATGATAGTCATCACGACATTCTCTTTGAACTCATAGTTAGTGTCCACTATACAGAGGTTATTTATGAAAGAGGGACCGTGAAAAAGTGTCTATTATAAGGAGGTGTCTACTGTGAGAGGTTTTACTGTACTAAGTTATATAGAACAAAAACTTTGACAAGCATAAAATGAAACTATAAAAGTCTGATACAAATATCTTGTAATGTTTGAGAACTATTGGCATTTTCTTGTTGTTCGAACTTCGAGAACACCCTATAATAGTAAAAAAATGTTTTCTTCCTATTCTTTGTTTATTCCTTGTATAAATGTCAATATCGATTAGAAAAGAAAATTAAAACAACTATTTTTATTTATACGGTTCTCATTCATGTTCTACACGTTATTCTTACAATAGAATCAAATGTAATATGTATTAAATGCAGCACACTTTTGAAATGGTTTTTAGATGAGATTGACATCCCTCTGGTTTTGAATTATTCATTTTTCGGTTCAATGAAGTCTTCATTAAATTATAAATATAAGAGCAAGACTTGAAGAATTTCGAAAAATATGTTCTCTAAAATTATTCATTTCTAACACTGTCATTTTAATATTCAAGAGATTCTAATAAGTATTTCTTCAAACTAAAATCAATATTATATTTGAGTAAAATTGCTTGAATATTTTACTACCATTATATATGTTTTCAAAGCAATGTTATGCAATTCTAGAATAACAATGATATGACATAGAAAAAAAAGTTGAATTTAATTATTTAATAAAAAACATTAAGCTTGAGTAATTTGTATATCAATTTTTATAATCCAATACTCCCAATACTGGTAAATGATCTGATGGATAAAACTTATTTTCGGAATCAGTTAAATGTTCATGTTGCAATACTTTGAAATGTGACGATGTAATGAAAATATAATCTATTCGATCTCCTATCCCATGTTTTACGTCGAAGGTACACCAAGTACCATCTGGACCACAATGAGGCAATTCGGTGGAAAGTTTCGCATCTTGAAAATTAGTATTTGTTATAATAGTACGATAAGCATCTGATTCGGGTCCTGAATTAAAATCACCAGTCAGTATTGTAGGTGTCGAGGGTCCAGCTATTTGTTCTACACGATTTAAGATAAGATGAGCACTTTGCCGACGAGCGTTACGACCTTCATGATCGAAATGTGTATTGAAATAATAAATTTCTTTGTTTGTCAGTCGATCTTTGAGTTTCACCCAACTGCATATACGTGGAAGAGCTGCATCCCATCCTTTAGTACCGGGCGTATCTGGTGCTTCTGACAACCAAAAAGTACCTTTATCATTGAGTTCAAAACGATCATGACGATAAAATATACCACAGAACTCGCCACGGTCTCTGCCATCGTTTCGACCAACACCGTAAGAACCATAATTCGGTAATCCTGTTTGTAAATCAATCATTTGTTGAGGAAGAGGTTCTTGAACACCAAGTAAATCAGGTGAATAATGTTGAATAAGATTAATAACACGATTTTTACGATGATGCCATTGATTTATTCCATCGTACTTAGTATCAAGACGAATATTGTAAGTCATTAAACGAAACGAAGATATACATTGTTGAGATGACATAATACTAGAAAAAATTTCTTTTTAAATGAAAAATTCTTCCTAAAATCTTCAACAGAGATAAATGATGTGTTGAATTGTTTAGTCGAAGAGGTCAAAATTTACTTTGAAACAAAACAAAGAAAGAAAGAAAGAGAGAAGGCAATAACTTTAAAGCCAAATTCGTTACATCATTTACAGTGACCTTGTCTACACGAGAAACATAATGTGGCATTAGTTTAGTAATAAATCGACATGCTTATACACCTAATAGTTAATGCGCGAATAAAAATATCAGACTCTGTTATTATGATGCAGTTGAAAGGCATATGTAACAAGCACTTTTGCAAAAGCAATTATTGCATTTTTTGTTTGTTAACAATGACAGAGAAGTCGCTGCTCGTGTCATTCTTCTTTTATTTTATATATATTTTTTTTATTTCTTTGTAAACGTTATTTTAGCGTTTAATGTTTTTGAAAACACATTCTATCGTTTTTTTAATTGGTATCGACAATGTCAATTTGATTGATGCATTTAAATTAGCTCGTCTCTTGAAAATGCATTATATACGGATTACATTTTCCACTAAACAGGTTCATAAATTTGGGCTTAAATTGTTTGGTGTATACAAGGTCATTGAGTCACATACCAAGAAATTTTATTAGCCGAAGAACAGAACGTTTCATATAAACTCAAACGTGCGAAGCGACACTTATTATAAGAATCTATCGCCATCTACATTGTCTTAAAACTAGTCATGCGGTTATCGTTATTCAGTTAGAATATTTTATAATTTACCAGAGATTTTGAATTCATTCTGGTAATCTTTCAAAGTACTTAGTTTATTTTTTGATCAATATGTTGCTCAAATATCACGCATAATTTCGTCTAATGTAGTACAACAATGATCGAAATTCTGAGAATAAAAATTTTCTGATTACATACACAAAGAACAGAACAAGTTATTCATCCCTGTTCGATACAGTTTTAAAACTACAATAAAGTTTTGTATATGACTGTTACGTTTGTATCACATTTAATGTTCATTTAAAAGTTAGTTCTACCTGATACTATCAGATATCAATAAATTCGGTGATTTGAAATGAATCACAGGATATTTTTGGTTCAGAAAGAACAAGATTATCATCATAGGTCAATAAAAA